GGAGAGTGGACTACATATGTAACAAGCTGGGATTATATGATATATACTCACCAGCTTGAGGGGGAGTGTTAGTGGTGTTAGTGAGGGGGTATTTCGGTCTTTGTACTTGTTGAGAATGTTGATGTGTACTGTTGTGTTAGTTCAAGTGCCTCTTACTTAAAGAAGGGCACTCAAGTCTTTTCTAATAAGTTAATAATATAATAACAGGTCTGGCCGAATCAAGGGATAACTTTTATTTTTCTCTAATTCGAACCAGCCTTTCTCTCTTTCCTCTCTTTTCTCTCTTCCTCTTTCCTCTCCTACTTCTTGCTGTTTACTTTACAGTCAACGAACAAGACAAAATTCTAGGGCAGGTCAAATTTTAACAGGTTCGATTCAGTTCAGTTTGGCAGTCTGGACCATATAATAAACACCCCTACATGTTGGGTAATCAATGGGGCACTTTCAGAAAACAAAGGCTATAATTTCCTACCCAGCCTAACTTTTTCTATGTTTGCAAATTTTAAACCAAATAATCAATATCATTTTTTGTTTCATGATTATAGTCTATATTAACTTGTTTATGGCACTGCATCAATATCTTAAATTTAGAACACACTTTTTTCATCAACTAGTCACACTGACTAGCAAGGCCAAAATGACTAGTCATTGCATTGATAAGAATATAAGATTGTGCCGAAGGTTAGGTCAATATCCAGTCCATCTTTTCCAAGACCAGATAGCTGGGTCCAACATTGGTCATGGCCTTTTGAGCTTTATGGGCCAAGACACTGAGACACTAAGTGCCCATTTGGGAGGGCTTTCATGCAGTGACTTCTGGCATTGCAAGGTAGGCCCCACACAGAAGGTTGTGAAGCTATGTTTGGTGAAAAACCTTGAAAGCCCAAAAGCACTTACACTGAGCTAAGAATTGACTTTCCAGTGAAGCTAGTTTTGGTAGCTTCTTTGAAGCAGGTCAAGCCATGAACAGCCTACAAGCCATGTTTGGTGAAAAATCCAGAGAGCCAAGTCAATCACCCTGTTGAAGGGATGTCCATGTCAGCCTCTTAGAATAGCTTATCCAGAGTACCTTGCCAAGATTATCTGACTTCTTAGGCAGATAAGCCAGTTGTCAAGAAACATAGTTTACATTATTCATGCAACCAAACCAAAGCTTATCTTAAGCAGAACCCTCCCAAATGGACCCCAAGACTGAAGATTAGCTGGTAAAGGCACTTGACACTTTATTCAAAACACCCAAAAGAAGAAAGTTCAACTATCTCAGTTCATACTACATTTCACTCATCATGCTCCTTAATTTCAACTATCAACAAGTGTTCAATTAACACGGTCATAGTCAAAGAACCTTGACAAAGCATTTGCTAATCCCAGGAAGGTTGGAGTGGTTATTGTATCAGATTCAGCTATCTTCATTTCCTCCTTCAGAGCAATGCTTCGCAACCTCTGTTGCACAAAACATGATAAGCTATCTTTCTAGAAGGTATACACACTAAAAAACTAAATAAGGAACAAATATTGTAATTTTATGTTAAGAAGATAGATACCTTATGCCATGCAGAAACAGAACTTGCAAATGCCTTTAAGGTAGGAGGTGATCTAAAAGATGACATTTCTACCTTCTTGATGAAAGCTTCTACCAGCTGTAAGCATGTTGAACTGTATATAAACTGATTGAGAATGCCACTAAGACTTGTCTGAGAAAGGTGGGAAACATATATGCCATTTTTGGCACAAAAACTTCTCCTGCTGTCATCCCAATAAAACAGTGAACCGGAGAAACCTTGTAACATTTGTAAAACACCTCTTACCTGCAACAGGAGAAAAGCAATTAGCATGAACTTTGAATAGAATTTTGCAGTATTTATCATTTAGGCAACAAGACCCTTTATATATTGGTTACATGTATCAAGACAAGCATACCAGATCAAGTTCATTTATCCTTGAATTGGAGAATGGAGCTGCAAAAGGAAGACCCTTAGAGAAAATATTATGGAGCCGAACGACAAAACTTTGAGCAACTTCAGTTTCTGCTCCATCTGTTGAATAAAAGATAYAGCACTGTTACAAACATGGAGGGCCTCATAGAACATACTAAAACCAGTGTTTTAAAAGGCGTGGGAGGCATACGCCTAGAGGCGCCTCCAGGAGAGGCACTCCCAAAACACCCTGAGGCGTATGCCAAAGGCGTTGACACCTCTGAGGCGTATGCCTCTTCCACTTTTTTCATGACGCGTGTGCTAGAGGCGTATGCCTCATGCGCCTCATGCACATCTGATAATAAAAAGACAGAAAAAAAAAAAGAAAAAAGAAATAAAAAGGAAAGGAAAGGAAAGGAAAAGAAAGGGAAGGGAAAGAAAAAGAAAGAGAAGAAAAGAAAAGGAAAGGGAAGGGAAGAAAAGATAAGGGGATTGCGAGCTCGCCTCTGCTTCGACAAGACCCCCCCTTTCAACTAATGTTATGAATCTTTATTCTTCTTAATATAAAAGATTTTTATTAAAAATAAAGAAAAATGAGATCCCCCCTTCCTCTTCATCCTCCTCTTAACCCCCCTCCTCTTCAGGAGGCTTACGCCTCTTCATTCTGAACTACGCCTCACGGCTCTAGGTAGTGGAACGCCTCGCGTCACGCCTCCGCGTTTTAAAACATTGACTAAAACATAAATAAAATCAAGAAAGAAAATACAATCACATAGGATCAATGGGGTACTAAAAACAAGGGCATTAACCCAATGTTGGTCCTAGCCATCTGGGTCTTGGGAGGGCTAGACAAGGTATGGTCCTAAACATTGGCATTGTTTGCACAAATTGGCCGCCCTCAGACTTGGGGGCCAACCATTGGAGTGGGGAGGGGGGGAGGGGAAAAATATAGATGGAAGAAAGTAATATAAGTGGGGATTTCTGGGCCATAGGGGGGGGGGGGGGGCATGGCTCCCCTGGGTCGCCCCTTGGCTCCGCCCCTGCCCATGCTTGCCAGCCTGAGATTTTACCATTACACAAAGTAATGAAGCACCATGCACTATGTACTGAAGCCACTCTTCACTCCCTAAAGTTCAAAAATTCTTCACATATTTTTTTTCTCAAGACAAGGTAAAGTATTTTATTAAAAAAGCAAAAGGATTACAACCCCCTAAACAGCAAGAAACTGTAAAGGGCCTATGTCCTTTCTGTACATTTCTATCTTGTATACATAGATACAAAAAGATTGGAAATAGCCTCTCTGTATGTACAGGGGTAAGGCTTCATATATCTGTCCCTCCCCAGACCCCACATTAGCAGGAGCCTCGTGCACTGTACTGCATTTATTTTCAAAAATCCTCCTAGTCCTTTCCATCCAGACTGTCCAAACCACTGCAGAAGGCCCCAACTTTCCATATGATCTTTCCTTGCTTAGATTAGCCTTTTAGCTTCCAACACCACAATAAGAAGATGATCCAGGTCCTCAGAAGCTTCGCCACACATAACATACTTGTCGGGCTCCACCCTCAGACCTCTTCTAGTCAATTTATCTGCTGTTAAGTACCTCCCCAACGTTGCAGTCAACATAAAAAAAAAAGCACTTTAAGAGAGCAACAGTATTCCAAACACTATCCTCTGGAAAATTTTCCATCTCAACCTCATTTAATTTGTTGTAGAAGGATCTAACTGTGAACATTCCTAACTTGCCCCACCTCCAAACTCTCTTGTCTCCTCTTGTCAGATCCGGCATAATGGTACTAATTTATTGCATCAGCTCTAGCCACTGCCTTACCTCCCAGTCATTCAAATTCCTTACAAAAACAGGGCACCACTCACTTGACTTTCCTTCCTGAAAGAGTACTTCAGCTATCAGACAATCTTTGTTTTGCGCAATCTCAAAGAGAGAAGGAAAGATCTCTTTAGGAAGAAAGGAATGGGAGGATCTTCAACGAGAAAAGTAAATCTGAAGAACTAGTGGATTGCATAAAGGTTAAATTTGCACATTGGGTAAAAACATAAAACTCATTTAAAGTGAAAGACAAAATTGTGATGGAATGGAAACCTTCAGAAAATAACAAAATAAAGCTGAATTTTGATGGAAGCTCTTCGGGCAATCCAGGTCCGGTAGGCATTGGGGTGTATTTAGCAATTCTTTAGGTAAGGTTGTTGCCTTGTACTCAAGACCAATTGGCATTGGGGATTCTTTGAGAGATGAAGTAATGGCACTGCTGTAAGGACTAAGATTAGCAAAGCAACTTGGGCTTCAACAGGTGGAGGTGGAAAGAGACACAAAAGTTAGTTGTATCTTGGATAAGCACACCCTAAGGGAAATAGATTACTTAGCTAAGGAGATGGGTGCTACCTTCAAATAGGTTAGGAGGACTACAAATGGGATGACAGATTCATTAGCCGTACAGGGGGTGTATAGGCAGCAATTGCTATAGGCTAAGGTGTAGTTGAACTATTCTACCACACGGGTTGTTGGAAGTTCTTCCAACAGTTACTTGTACTGTTCAATTGTTCATGATCTAATTTAATAAAAAAAATGGCTTCTTCTGATAAAAATAAAACTTATTTTGTCATACAAAATTAATAGAGATCAAAAAATTAAAGAAGTACCATAGAAGATGGGATTTCCCATTTAAATATTCTGCAGACTAGTAGAAGCACACTTCAAGTAGAGCCCCAACAAGGTAGGTTCAAATAAAAAAAATATCATCTCAATGCCTGCAATAGAAAAACTAACAAGCTCAGCTCCTGGTTATTTTCGAGTTCAATTATTTATTCCTAAAATGCTTTAATCCATTGGATAGTTTCTGTCAGCAACATCTTACAATAGTTCTCAATATTTTCAAATCACCTAGTTAACATGTCAGACCACTGATTTAGACAGCCCATGCGCTATCATAACTTGTAGAGGAAGTTAGCCATATGGATTAGTCAGACCTACCATTCAATACAGATGCTTGAACACCATGAATATGGTGAATCACAATGTGGCCAGTATATTATTAGTTTTAATTTTAAACACTGGCATCCAACATGATGTAAGAGATCCACAGTGTTCAAGGCACTCATTAAAAGAGAAGTTTGACCAACCCATATGCATAGCTTTGTTCTAACTTTTAGAATATACACTAAGTAAAAGCATATATCTGTACATATAACAAAAAAGGGTATTGTTATAAAGTCCCCTGATGATAAAAACAAGACAAGAAACAAGTGTCATGCAACATATTTATAACATTTGTTTTTTAGGTTAATATTATAGTTAGATTGCATATTAATTATATAAGTTCTGTATACATCCATCAATAGTCCAGTCCAAACAACACTTGTTAATATACTTTCCTGTTTAGTGATTTACTTATCAAGAGAAGGAGAAAGGTACAAGAGTGATGGAAAAAGAACAGTCGGCCAATTTCACTTGGGAAATTAGATATAAATTTCGTTTCAAATTATTACAATATAGCTCATTTGTTGGGACAGTTCTTGCATTCATCTTGCAGATAAAAGAATTTGTTAATGTATAAACCAAAGAGATGGAACACAAGTATAAAGTCCCTTTGATTCCAAGGGGAAGAAAAAGAAGAACCTGTGAAAAGCTTATAATCATTGACAGATTAATTGGAATCTACAAAAAGCTTATAATCATTTCCAGTTTGGTGAAGAAAGGGAACTTCCTATTTAGTTCAGTCCCCTACAATGTATATACAAACCCAAGTTGAAACCTACAACAAACCTTATAAGTTAGATCATAGCTACTGTAAAACTAGAATTAGCAATTTTTTAAGTTGTAGCTGCGGAATTCGTTATGACCAGAACACAAGCATATAGAGGGCATACAGAGTGTTCATCAAGTAGATAAAGCTTCACATGTGAGACATACATATTTGGAAAGTCAAAAGCATAGTAGAAACCTAAAAGAATCGAAATTTAGCACCGCAGAAAATCACCTTTTAGTTTCACCAGGACGCATTTTATGTTTCGTTAAAAATAAAATCTTTTCGAAAAGGATTACATGGAAAACATTAACACTATAGCCTATTAATTATGTACGAAGTTCTATAAAATACCACATTAGTAGTGCGTGGGCTGAATGTGATCCCTTCTCTACCAACAAAAGTTTGGCACAAACCAGCCAAGCATGGCAAAAGCAGATTTAAAAAGAAGAAGAAGAAGACTGATCTGATTCTCCAATGTTCACACTCCACAGCCAATATTGATCTCGCTCTGCAACCGGTTCATCGCCCTTCAAAAGTCTCCACCAATCTCAAGTTCGAACATCATACCAACCCCTACGGTCCTTCAACCAAGAAAGAATGATTATTTTTACGCCCAGAAGGAAAGTTTTAAATGGGGATTTTCAAACGAGTTAAATACTGAAAAGTTAAAACCTCCCCTCTGATATCTGAGAAATACTAAAACATTTCCTTTGGTTTCTGAAATTGACTAAAGAGTACCCTTGTCAGAATACCATGCCGTTATCTCTGACTGAAATGATAAAAAGACTCTTTTGCCCTCAACCATCCTTTAAATTTTCAAAAGATAGAGTGAAGCTATGAAGGGATCTTGCCATAAAACCCGTAACCCACAAGCATAGAAGAAACCATTTTGAAGGAAATTCAAGACGTTTTGTACGCCTTTGGGCTCCATGTTCATGCCCACAGCATCATCAGTGCTGCAACTAAATCTCATGCAGAGATTCTTTCCTGCTATTGCATTGGATGCTTTGTAGCCTCGCAAATTTACTAAATCTGCAACCAGTCGCAAATAGGATATCATGGCCAGCATACGAATCTCTGTAACTCTCTAACATAGGGGGAAATCTGCAACTCTATAACAATTCCGTAAAACGAAGAATCATTTTTCTGAAAAAAAAAAATGTAAGCTGGAAGGTGGATCCATGAGATGCAAATTCTGTAAATCTGTAAATCCTGTAAGCTGGTTATTTCCCACTGTACAAGAGTCCTGCAATTTTGTTGGTTGAACAGAAGTTCCTTTTGCAGAGCACAGGAATCAGCGATGGCATGGCGGTGAACACAGACAAATTCAAGAAAATGCAAAGGCCTACGGTAGAAAGTAACGGCCGGGGTGGGTGGGTGATGATCGGCGAAGGGAGCGACAAGCAAAAGTAATTCCACAAGGTGAATCGGCAGGAAACAAGGCACTTGGTCTTCGAGCCGATGTGACATGTGAGGTGAAATTTTACTAAGGCTAACTTGGAAAGAGTACAAATGAAATGCAAATATGTTGACAATCAACGCTTTGTGACAATTAAAATACCAACATTTAACTTTGTCCACAACTGGCGGTGGTTTAATCCAAACAGCCACACTGGAGTCAGCTTTGATATTGGAAGGTGAATATGTGATGAGGAGCTAATCGCTGGATTGGTTGAATAACATTTAGGACTAACATGGGAGAAAAGGGGTGAATAACATTTAGAATAGAATTCCAATTTGCAATGGGTTCTCTATATATCCTACTAACACTACGGTTGTGTTTGGTACCATTCTCATTTTAGGTTGAAACGTTTTGAGTAGTGTAAGTGGTGCAAGTTTCAATGGTTAGAGGAGAAACTGTTTGGTTAATTTAATGAATGTTTATAGTCTCAACAACAGTGCTCACTAGATTGTTTATAGTAGATATGTATTTGGTATGTCCTGTGAATTCACATTGGAGTGTTTAAAGTAAAATTTTTATTTCTAGGTAACACCAATCACACTTTATGCCAATCTAATGAACAAGAATTTTCCAAACCCAGAATTTCATCGGACTTTATTTTTCTCCAATGTACAGGCCGGGGTGTTATGTCTGTAAATGTTTTATCAAGAGCTTCAGGCTGCTTCAAGAAGAATAAGACGATGGAGCTTATGCATTGAAGAAGACTAAGGCTATATAACTTTGCTTAAAGTGTTGTATGATACGCGATGCATCTTATCAATTCATCACCATGCCACATCGGATGACAAGTAAGTGCCATATCAGCTAAAACATTGTGAGACACAGTGGCTGTTGGGGGAAACCTCAATTTGATGTTTCCTCCAACACCCCCGTGTTGCTATTTTCAGACAAAACGTTTTTTTGACTGTTTTGAATTAAAACAGTCTCAATTAAATAATAAATTCCCATTGTAATTCAAAACGCCTAGGTGGCATTGATGTGGCAGGGTTTCAACTGGGAACGACAATGGTGCCAAACATACCCTATATCAGTTGCTACTTGCTGCACAACCCAACCCCCATGAATTGGCAAGACCTGGATCTGTTGCTCGAACTATTGTGTATCACTTGCTACTAACCAATCACAATACACCAGTGTTTTGTGCAGACTGTGCACTGGCATGCGGGCCTACATGTATGAAACTTGGATGATACATTTAGGGCTGTTAAGGGGTCGGACTTGCCTGATGGACCCGAACGGACCGAACCAATTCATACCCAAAAATTGATTATTTTATTAAATATATAATACTTTCTTAATTTTCATATAATTTGTACCATATGTTATATTTGAAATGGTAAATTCGATAGATAATATTAATTAAAAATATTTAAATTATTAACATATAGATAATTTAGTATTTTTCTATCATTTTTATTATGCTTATATTATCAAATTTTAAATTTTAAGTTATTATTTAAATAAGTAAATATAATTTTCAATATAATCGGGTTCAGACCTGACTATTAAACAAGATGGTTCTGAGTTTATGATTTTGTTTCAATTAATAATCAATTTGGGACTGGTTTTACCTAAACCCGACCTGTTGACAGCCCTAGATATACAGTAAGTAGTGAATCTCAAGTCAATTTGGTATGCTTCCCACTTTATAACATCTTGCTTCAAAAAAAGAAAAAGAAAACTTTATGACATTAGCTCTCTTTGTATTGAGAGGTGAGGTGAGGCTGTTCCTTACCATTAGGTGTGAAACCATGGTAGAACTCAAGATTCAAAGATCAAAATATTGGGAGAAAGACGGTTCAACCCAGGGTCAGAATTTATAAGCACAGAGTACTGTTGGGGTAGATGCCAGCTCGGAATTGATGCCAATTCACGTGGGCGTTGGTGTATAGAGTGTGGGTTGTTGCCAATTTGAATGTTTATAGCTCTGCAGTGAAAATTAAAAATCTACATTGGGCCTATCCGTACTTCTCTGCAAAATATTTGAGCAACCACTATTTGCAAGCATTGACATTACATGATGCCATAATTAAGCCTTTTATTATTAAAGACATAAGATGTTTTTGCTGGAGCATAATTAAGCCTTTTATTATTTTGTTAGTTGTTATTTTTTTCAATAGTGATTTCATTTTTTTATTTTTAAATTTGAGTGTGTGGTGTAATTATACTTTGTTAACTTTTCCCAATATTTTATACATAATTTTTCATATTTTAGTATTTTCACAATATTTATATTTCTTCCCTATTTTTTTCATATTGCTAAACAAAATTCTTAAACTTACTCCAAAATCTCCCCCATCCACCAATGACAACATTCTAATACTGAAATTTCAAATATGCATGCCATATGTTTGGCTCATTTTGTTTCAGATTTGCATCTCTTAGTGTCAGATTTTGTGGTCCTTTTTTTTTCTTGAGAAACTTTAATAATTGGGTCGGAAAACATGTATGCAAGTGGGGAAATCAAAAGGCAATTATTTCGATTGCCCTTCCTCCTATACACGAACAAGAAGATACACTGCAAGCTTTTCCACAACTAGACAGACTATCATTAACATTCTAAATATCTACAACAAATTCAATTTGATACCATCATATCATACAAGAAAAGTGGTACAAATGTGAAAATCTTCTCCCCCATTTGTATAAAGACCTTTCAATTTATGCTTAAGATAAATGAACAGGGATGTACAACCTGCTCACCAATCCCATGGCATACTTGATTAAAGGCCAGAGATCGAAATATCAAAGTGTAAGGAGGCCTTGAAGCTTCAAGAGGTTTCAACAATGAGGGTATAGTGAAGAACTTTTATTTTATTTTATTTTATTTTTTTACATATGCTCCTCTTTGTTGTCGACGTCACGTGGGACCTAATGAACATTAAGTGCCAAATGCAAATATCACCATTCTATGCAGTTTCAATGCTGGCTCCTCTACACAATTGTCTTCTAGTCTCCCTGGCTCCACATGAGAAACAAACCACCCTATTTTCTGAATCTGATCAACCTGTTTCAGAAGTATTTGGCTTTCTTCCATGAGCTCTTGCAAAAGCATATCGATGATAGATGTCCCGGGCACTCTGGTCTGCACTGTGAAGGATGTTCGGAGAATGGCTGGAATTATGTATGCTTCTATTTGAGTGTGGAGGAGACAGACTAGGAATAAACTCCAGGGTGGACCGAGGAGAATGCCGAGAAGCTGCTGTGGAGTCGCAAGTTTCAGCATGAGATTTTTTATCACTGGAGCAAAACAATAGTCTTGCATGAAGCCGGATGTGGTGGTCATGCAAAGTAAAAGTACCAATTGGAAAATCGTGATTTGTGCTTGTGACCCGGGAGGGGAAAGGTGATCATCCACAATAACTTACCCATTAGATGGCCCTTTTCCTATTGTAGATTGTGTGCCAGGAGATGTTGGTACTGGGTCGGATTTGTATTTATTCAACTCTCTTGGACTATGTGCTTTATCCTGTAATAGTATATTTTTGTAAAATATTAGAGGATCACATAACCAGTCGCTTAGAAGTTTAGATGGGTAATAACAAATTGTTTCATGTCTGAGAGTTACCACTAATTTTGTTGTAGAGAATGCTTGCAGACAAGCTGGACATTCCAAATGGGTTGAGTTCCTTAAGAAAGGATGTTCTAACAACTTGCTTGCTGATGGCCTGTCAGCAGGATTTCTTTGAAAGCAGCGCCTGAGGAAATCCTTGCCCTCAGCTGATAATGTTTCCGGTATTGGTGGAGATTCTCTCAAAACCTTAAACATAGCTCCAGCCTGCAATGGCACAAGGTAAAATAACCAATTAAGAAATAGATATTTATGCATTACATTGGGAGTGAGGGGATACAAGGAACGAAACAGAAATGGGGTAGGGGGTTGGAATACTAACAAGAAGCACCAGGATGCATCAACCAACTTCGAAGCTGCTATGTACATGGTAGGAGTGTAGGACCAATGAATAGACACAAAGTTGGCCTGTCTTTTTAATGGGTCCCAACATTCTATAGCAATGCACCCTGGATTTCTTGTTAATATTCCTAAATAAAATTTAAGTAAAACAACAAAAGCAAAATATATGTTTCTAATCAGATCTAAGCCTTAACAAGGTAGTCCTACATTCAGACCAAAAGTCAAAGCCAATTGGTCCTAATGCATAGTCAGCATACTCATCATCATCATCATCATCCATGCCTTATCCCAACTATATATTTTTTTGATAGTAACATAAAGGAAAGATTTATTAAAAAACCACAAATTACATCAAGGTGTAGGGATTACGCCATCAGACATTACAAAAAGCTAATCCAGATTACATTCTTGGATCTCAAGAGCACTCCAAAAGGAGGACCCAAAATCTGATACAGAGGTTTGAGCAAAATCTCAAAGGATGAGCACCCAGCCAGAAATAGCCCTTCCAATAGACTCCACCACCTTCTCTAACTCTCATTGACTATCCTCAAATACTCTTTTGTTTCTTTCTCTCCAAATTCACCAACACACAGCAAAAGGAATAAAGCTCCACACAATTCTGGCTTTTTTGCTGCCCTTGTAGGAAGACCATTTGGAAAAGATTTTTGCCGGAGACTCAGGGAGGAACAGCTGCATGCCAAACAGATCTGAATAATAACTCCAGCAGTCTCAGCCATTGAGCACAAGAACAAATGAAGTACTGTTTCCTCACAAGGACCATATGTTCGGCTACATGAATCCTGTTTTGCCAATCAGTTCTATTTAAAGACATCCACTTTTTTTTAGAAGAGGTAAAGTATTGTATACGATTCAAAAGTATAAGGTCCTGTACAAAGAGAATATGTACAAGCATGACCAGAACTAGGAATCCCCAAAAAACGTCCACCCTCAAAAAAGAACCAGAACTATAAACATCTCTACATACATCAGAAAGAAGTAACCAGCTCCTAAGCTCTTCTATTATAAAATTAATAACCCCAGCCTCAGTCTTGGCTTTTTGCTCAAAAATCCTATTGTTTCTGTCCAGCCAGACAGCCCACAACACTGCAGATGGGATGGCAGACCACACTTGTTTCCCTTTTTAGACATACCAGGGACTCTCCATCCAGCTAGCACAGAAGAGACTGATTTTGGCTAGCACCAACTGGTCCAACTCAGATTAATGGCCCTAGGAAAATTCGGCCAAACTCCCGCCGAGAACTTGCAGTGGATAAACAGATGACTTGAAGACTCAGTTTGCTGATTGCACAAGGGGCAAAGCAAGTCCAGTAAGGTGAAGCCTCTTCTCATCAGCATCTGTTCGGTAAAGCTTTCTCCTTGGCATCAACACAAGTCAAAAACTTGACTTGGGAAGTTACTCTCCATATGGCCTTGAAAGGGAAGGGCTGTTGAACTTCACCCAAGAGACCCCAGTAGCAGGATCTGACTGAAAAGCTACCAGATTTTGCCCATTTCCAGCATCTAGAGTCCTCGGAATGCAACTCAGGGTGTTGATTCTGAAGCAAAGACAAGCTCAGCCACCTGATCCAACTCCCAAACATTGAAATTCTTTCTGAAAACTGGAGACCAAACTAAGCTGTCCCCTTCCTAAACGAGGAAATCAGCCACATAAATCTAAGGATCATCAGCCTCCGCAAACAGAGGAAAACTCTCTTTCAAAACAGTAKTACCACACTAAGAATCCAGCCAAAACTTCAGTCTTCTTCCATTTCCAACTCTATAGGAAATGCCATCAATGAAATGAGGGTAAGCTCTAAAGTTCCTTTCCAAAAAACCCTATAGGCCATTCATGCTATCTTATGTTTTTTAACATGGTATCAGAGCTATTTTATGTATTTAACAGTATTGAACCTTGCTGAATACCCATAGTAATTGTAAAATCTGAAGTCTCTCCCACTGCAAAGCCTAATTGCAACCATATGGGCTGGCTACATGATTCCTGTATTCAACCCTATGATAGAAACAATACATGATTCCTGCTACACGATTCTTGTGTGTGTGTGTATAGTCTACCAAACCAAGGGTGATATAATGTATTATATATTATCTCTATTATATATATAAGTATCATATTATATAACACATAAATTTTATATGCACACACACACATACACACATATATATGCATTGAAGATTTCATATTTTTTGCTTTGAGATGCTTTGAGATTTGGAAACCACCATTACACAAGTACTACTACCAAGATCGCTTCAAGAAAAAACCGCCTGTTTCATTAGATGCCCTAAAATCTTAAAGAAACTTGATCTGGATCCAACTTCTTGTATAAACCTGCATATTCCATCACATTTTTGTGCTATTTTGACATAGTTACACTGCATTAGTTTTCTAAAATTTCCCATTTCTTATACCCAAGGTTCTTACCCTAATTTTCTATCCCAATCTATATTCTTCATAAATTTCACTAGGAATCACTTTGTTACTTTTTTCAACTAGACTTACTACTATCCCTTTGCAACCCCTTTTTCATCAATTCTCCTAACCTCTCCTACCCATGACTTCTTCAAGACAGGTCAATGAGTGCCTTATGCACCCTAAATCTCTTAGTGAAGTCAACAGTTGGTTGAAGTGATTAACACAAAGATATGATTCAAGTACTTTAGGAAGCCAATATTTAGTCAGGTCATTCTACAAATGCTTTGATGTGAGGAAAAAAGACAAATGCTTTAAAAAGAAACCCATCTCATGGTTCCTTCCCCCCCCCCACCCCGGTTCTCCCTTTGGCTTTAAACTGGGATTTTGGGTTTCGAAGATGGTTAAGGGATGAAGAATTTCCTTGTGTTTCAAAGCTCTTATTGCTTCTAGACTCAATGTGTTTGGACCAACCCGAATAAAAGGGTTTGGTCTCTAACCCTGGTTGGGTCCTTCACTTGTGCATCTTTCTTTAAATCCCTTTGCTCCAACCCCTCCTTTCAGGTCTTCCCCATTAAAGGGGTCTGGTCAAGGCCAATACCCCCTAAAATAGCAGTGTTCTGTTGGGAAGCCTATTATGGTAAGATCAATACTGTGGAAAACTTGCAAAAAAATAAATCTTGTATGTGTTTGTCCCCAAATTGGTGCTTTATGTGTAAAGTGAAGGGTGAGGACTGTAACCATTTTCTGATATCGTGCTCTTTTGCTGCCAATATTTGGAACTCGGTTGTTTCATTATTTGGGTGCAGGTGGAACTTGCCCTCCAAAGTAAAGCTATTGTTCACTCCGTCTGCCTTTGGGAGATTGACAAAAAGAGGGAAGCTAATGTGGAAATGTATCAGAGCCGCTACCTTGTGGACGTTATGGGAGGAGAGAAATGCTAGAATATTTCAAGAAAAGGAAAGAAGTCTCGCTGAAATCAAGGAGTGCTAATGACAAAGACAGCCTCGTGGCTGAAATCTTCACACTTGTTGGTAGATTACTCCTTTGATGACTAAAGGAGAAATTGAGCAGCAGTGGCTTCCACAATCTCCGCAAGGAACAAACCACAAGTTGAATGGAAACCCCCACCGAATGGAGTGGTAAAATTGAATTTTGATGGTAGCTGCCAAGGTAACCCAGGGCCATCTGGAATAGGAGGGATTCTGAGAGACAAAGACAGCAACATGTTGTCTTTATTTTCAGGACCAGTGCGTGTTGGTGATTCTGTAAGGGCCAAGATACTAGCAGCGGTACAAGGTATACAGCTGGCCAGTCAACTTGGAGTGAACAATTTGATAGTAGAAGGGGATTCCAAGGTAGTAGTGGGCTGGCTGACAAGTCCAGAAACAGCTTGTTGGGGCTACAGGGATTTGTTAAGGAAAGTTAAATGGCTGACAAGAAATATGACAGTCAGGATTCAGTGGGTCAGCAAATCAGCAAATGCAATGGCTGATTCACTGGCCAAGCAAGGGTGTTAAGGGGAGATCTGTTTTGGGCTACTTTGTAATTGTGTTTCAGGCTTGTGTATGTTTAGTGTTTATGGTTCAGTCCTCGGGGGAGGTAACACCTTGTGCCTCCTCCTAGGCTGACTGTACTTTCTTTATTTGAATTAATAGAAGTACTCTCATTTATCAAAAAAAAAAAAGAACATAGGGGCACTTTCTTCATAGTATTGTTGCCTATGATGTATAGAGCTTCTTTTTCTCTCTTCTGGAGTGTGCCATTGGCAGCCCCATTGAGGTGTTTATGGCATGGCCCATAGTGATTTTTCTTGCCTTTTTAAGTGTCTTCCAAAATTTTACAACTCTATAAATTAGAAGCTGAGAGCCCTTATTAACTTTCTTGAATTTCATTATTTTCTTACATTTTAATTAAAATGGAAATATTTATGAAATTGAAATTTATTTATTTTTTAAAGGGCAGTAAATTCATTAAAGATTATAATGAAGAAAATAGGACTGTGGAGGGAGAGGTCTTCTCAACAGCCTAGTACAATGAGGCAAAAGAAAGAGCAAAATACAAAGGCATTACAAAGTAAAGCTATCATCCCACAAAACACAGTCTTTGTAGTGTGTTATTTATTTGTTTGTTAATGGGCTTGTCTTTATGGGCCTGTTGCTTCTTTTTATAAGTTTATTTTAAGTTCTTTCTTAGCCGGCTGCCAACTTAAGGGCATACTTATAATTAACTTAGATAATGAAGATTAACAAAAGGATTAGAGAGGGGAGAGAGGAGATTATAGAACTTTTCTTCTTCCTCCTCTTCTTTTCTCCATCTTCTTCCTTTGTACTGCTGTCTTCTACCTTTCTTTTACTTTTCTCTCTAATTTTAATCAAGTTTATATCAGTTTTAGAGGACTGATTTACTTCTTGGTATCAAAGCAGGTTTCTCCCTT